TGGGAACTGAACTCAGTACTTCTGGGTGCTCTTAACTTCTGAACTATCTCTCCAGTTCCCATAATGAACTCTTAACTACTTGATCACTACCTTCTTCTTTTGTCACAGCACCTAACTCCAGTAGGAAACATATCATACATTTAATTCTTCATTTATTGCCTATCCAGAGCCAACAGATGGCTTGAGTATCTTGATTTCATATTCTCCTACCTTTAAAAAAAAAAAATTAGCTGGAACTTTATGTGTCATCTACTTCTCCAACGCACAGCTACTTCCTCAACTATGCCGATATGTCAGCCATGGCCTACCTACCCCCAATGAAACTTACTGAACATTATGATTTTTATTCAGCTATCAGACAAATATTCCCTACATACCTTCAACCCTGACCTCTAGTATCTTGTTTAAGCAAATAAAAAGAGCACAAATGCGTACTTGCTTCTTACATTCAGAGGGTCTGAGATTTTATCTTGCATGAAAGCTGATCATTTTAACTGCATATGGAACCCTTCACCTTCTGGGTCAGAGACAAAGGCTTTTAGGACACAGCAAATACCACAAAGACAATTTGCTTTAGTTTGGACGTCCAGTCCACACAGGACACTACAAATATGGTTCCACGGTGTGTGCACATGCGTGCATGAGAACACACACACACACACACCTACCTGTGTGCATTATTGGGAGAGAAACACTAAACTTAGAGAACTCAGATCTGATCTTTTACAATAACACCCAGTGCACTTCCAACCCCGTTTGCTTGCTTTTTGAGACAGGGATCTAACTATTTTAACCCAGGCTGGCCCAGAACAGAATCTTCCTGTCTCAGTCTCCTGAACATTGAGATACAAGCCTGTGCCTGGCTAATAAGACCTTCATTTGAGTTATGGAGAGTGATGCCATTTTTCCAAAGATATACAAGTATTCTTGAAATGAAAGGTTGCAGCAAAAGCTGCTGGTGCCTTGCTAGGAGACATTAAGAAATATGAGGTGTACATGGCTCACCCACTCTGCTTCCTGTTCACCCTGTCTTCTTGCTTTTCTTCACAGCTATACTCAAAACACTAGTCTTACTCCATGCCTACACACAGGCTGCCATGAATAGAGGTTTAACTCTGATGTCCGAGGCTCCTACACAGCACTATTACCATCCCTGTCTCCAGTACTATTCAGTTAATATTTGTGAACCAAGTAAGGCAGTCTGTTTCTGGAACTACTACTTCGTCATTTTTAGTGACCCCTCAAGCAACTGCAGTTTTTCTCCTCACACCTGCTTTGTACTCTCACACACATGCATGCTGTAGCTGTGCTACACAGAGATGCTGCCATCTGCATGCCACTTCATATAACTCTTTTTAAGAGCATATACACCTATTCTTTACATGCCACTTCATATAACTCTTTTTAAGAACATATACATCTCTTCTTTTGTAATCACAACATCGCCTCTGCTATTAGTTTTTTTCTTTCACATCTTAATCTTGTGGGTACACTTAAATGACCATCTAGAAATACTTGCTTTCAGCCTAAAGAATGTCCTTTATTGCTTCCTGTCTTTGTAAGGTGGACCTGTCAGCACAGTTTCTCTGGTTTTTTGCCACTTGGAAAAATATTTTACCTTCTTTTTTTGAAAGCCCATTTTTGTAGAATAATGGAGTTTGATAGACACACTTTTATTTGGATATTACTCTGATACCCTGTGAGTGCCATCATTTCAGCTGGGCAGTCAGTTGTTTTCCTTACAGGGCTTTTTTCCTTTAAGGAGCTGCCTTCCCTTCAGTGTTTTCTCCCTGTGAAGGACTACATCAGTTAGTTCTCCCTGTGATATCTTTGTGTGGGCCTTTGTATTTAGCCTACACTTGGAATCTGTGAGGTTCTGGCATGTGGGCTGTTTTTGAAAAGTCTGCTAGCTCCACAGCCATCTTTTCTTACAGTTTCGGCTTCTATCTCTACGCACTCCTGATATTTCCACTGTGCTCCCCACAGTCTCCTCCCACTGTGCCACGGGAAGCTCCCCAGTCTCCTCCCACAGTGCACACCGGGAAGCTCCCCAGTCTCCTCCCACTGTGCACACCGGGAAGCTCCCCAGTCTCCTCCCACTGTGCACACGGGAAGCTCCCCAGTCTCCTCCCACTGTGCACACGGGAAGCTCCCCAGTCTCCTCCCACTGTGCACACGGGAAGCTTCCCAGTCTCCTCCCACAGTGCACACGGGGAAGCTCCTTGGCCTCCTCCCACAGTGCACACCGGGAAGCTCCCCAGTCTCCTCCCACTGTGCACACCGGGAAGCTCCCCAGTCTCCTCCCACTGTACACACGGGAAGCTCCCCAGTCTCCTCCCACAGTGCACACGGGGAAGCTCCCCAGTCTCCTCCCACTGTGCACACAGGAAGCTCCCCAGTCTCCTCCCACTGTGCACACAGGAAGCTCCTGACTGTCTCCAACTCCTGAGGTTGCTTTTAGTTCACTCTGTACTTTAGTGTGGGAAATCTTACACATCTATCCTCGAGTCTGTTTCTGCTTTCTGCCAGTTCACATCTGTTGTTGAACCTTTCTAATGGTTTATTTAGTTCCCTGGCCTATAATTTTTATGGTTTTTTTTTTTAAATGTCTCCTGTTGGTATTCTCTATCTGAAGTGACATTATACCTTCATTTACCATTGTTGCTTCAATTTTGACTTCCCCTATTCCTGTGGACATCTTTATAATGTTTCTTTAAAAGTGTTTCTTCTGGAAAGTCTAACATCTGCTCAGTCTAACAGCCATTTTTAGTGGTCTTCATTTTCTCCAGAAATTGTGCTTTAGGGTGTCTTGGTTTTTGCTTTTTTGGTTGAACATTGGCATTCTAGATGACATACTGCAATGCCTGTGGTTTCTTATACCCCCCTCCCACTTCCAAGGCTTATCACTCTCCCTTGTTCATTTCTATCACCTGGAGCTGACACCTTCATGCTCTTTGGATTTGGATCATCTCTTCTAGGAGAAGCAGCTTCAGCGTATCTAGGATCTCAGTGGTATAGACTGAGTTCTCTACAACTCTTTTCTTAACCAAACCCAGCTGTTAAACTCAGTTAATTGCTAGCTGATTACTCTATTGTTTTATATCATGCTCTGGGGCATGAGTTACTCTATAAACAATCCAATCATATTCTGGCTTCTTTGAAGGAATACTTTTAGTGTTTTGTTTTTGTTTTTAAGCAAAAACAAAACAAACAAAGCAAAAAAAAAAAAAAAAACCAACAACCCAACTCTGACTCAGGTAGCTCTTTTGAGATGTCTTATTCTGGGGCACTCTTCTGCTCTACTGTTACTGAGGGTGTGACACTTGAACTCCACTCCCACTTGCAAATGAAGGCAAGTCTTTTGAGAAGGCTTTGGGATCTATCGGCTTTATGGTCTGCTTTTCTCCAGCAGGGAAACCTCTGTGTTAGTGACTTGAGCTATGTCTTAGTTAAGGTTTCTATTGCTTGGAGGAAACACCATGACCAAAATGCAAGTTGGGTAGGAAAGGGTTTATTTGGCTTATACTTTAGGATTACTGTAAATCACTGAAGGAAGTCAGGACAGGAACTCAAAAAAGGCAGGAACCTGAAGGCAGGGGCTGATGCAGAGGCTATGGAGGGGAGATGCTTACTGGCTTACCTCCCATGGCTTGCTCAGTTTGGGTTCTCCTAGTCTAACACTCATGTAGACCTCCACATTTGTCTTCTGCTAGATTTCTTTATGGAGGGGAAAATCAGTGCCTTGATATGGAGCCATTACCACCAAAGTTAACTTATTGGCATATAATTATCACATGCACTAAAAGCCTACACTATCTTCTTGACATACAGTGTTATTATTCTGAGACTTTAATGCACTAATTTCTTTGAAATGAAGTATCTCTTTCAACACTATCTTTGGATGAAAAGTTTTGGCTCATTGCCATTAACATTACATAAAATAAGCATAAACACAGAACTTTAAACATTTAAAGACTAAGACACACTTGGTACTCCTTCAAAGGGAAGGAGCAGGAGTGACAGTAACACCTGAAAAAGAAGTTGTTGGGGGTTTCTTAAGATAGGATCTCTCCATGCAGGCCTGGCTGATATGGAACTCACTATATACTGTAGGCTGGCCTAGAACTCACAAAGATCCCCCACCTTTATATTCGGAGTGCTGGAATCAAAGATATATACCGCCATTTCTGGCCCATCCTTCACAAGATAAGTTTCTTGGAATAAGTTTGCATATGCACAAATATTCTAAAACTACTGCCTTAAGTTTAACATTTGTATGTGTCCACTTGCACACATGCGTCCAAGCGCTCGTACAAATGCACACAACTCTCTCTCTCACACACACACACACCCATATAATATCTAATTACGTTAAAAGTCATACTATACATTTTAAATGTATTTTAAATTAGTATTGGTTCTTATAAAAGACATATGAATTTTAAGTTTGGAAATTTGCCCTTTGCTTCTGTAACCACATTTATCGCTGTAACCACAGAGAACTCTTACTTCAATTTTTAACTAACTCCAAGTCAGATGTGCCAGGAATAAAAATCTTCCTAAGGTCAAATATAACAAGAAACAGCAGCTACAGGAGGCAAACCCACCAAGTGATCAGGGCCATTGGGACTGTGTGCACATGGCACCGGACAGGTTTCAAGGTTAGATTTAAATGGGGATTATGAACTTGGGGCGATCTCATCATGCTTGAAAACCTCAGCTACAGCCTGACAACAGCAACGACCCTCAGTCACATGATGGACAGGAATGTTTGGTTTTGAGACCTTTTATCTCAACTGTTAACATCCAAATAGAGCAAACAAAACAACTTTGTTAAAGAAACAAATACAGAGGTGGTATTTAACTAGTTGAAATTATATGACCATGCCAACAGGCACCATCAAGGGACAGCTGGCCAAGTGACAGAGGCACAGGACAGCTATTTTAGGTTTGCAGGGTGTGCTCAAGAGTTGTTTAAAGGATGCAATGAATGTACTTACCAAATATTTCCCCTCCGCTAGCATATTCCGTCACCAGATAAATCATCCGCTCTGTCTCCATGACCTGTACAAAGGCAGGGAAGTGACAATGACACAGGTGACAAATTGGTCCAGGAAGAGAACCAATGATTGTGCCATGTTAGCAGCCCTGCTTAAAAGGCTCTGCACAGTGGGGAGGGAACAGGCATTATTGTGACAAGGGAAACTGGTACTCTGCAGGTTCTCAGACTCAGGAGACAGGACAGCCTCAGAGGCACAGTCCTCTGGGTCCCCAAGTCTCTGATCCAATAAGCCAGAGCTGCTAAAAACTGGGGGGAAAAAGTTCAATTTCACCATCATCACAGCTCAAACTGCCCCTCCCCCACCCCCAGCCCAGAGTAAGAAGAGAACACTGGGACTCATTAAGGACCGCCCAGAAACCACACAGGACTTGATTTTTAAATGGAAATATCAACTTTCCTTTCCATGGACCATTTGTTCAAAGGAGGGAATCCCATGAAAATGCCAAGCCTTCCAATAATGAAATTCATTCACTCCTACTTCGTCCAGTCTCCATTTTGCTGATTTTAAAAAATCCACAATCAACTGGGTGATGCTGGCACACACCTTTAATCCCAACACTCGGGAGGCAGAGGCAGGTGGATCTCTGTGAGTTCAAGGCCAGCCTGGTCTACAGAGAAAGTGCCAGAACAGCCAAAGCTGTTACACAGATAAACCCTGTCTTGAAAAAACAACAACAAAAATCTACATCCAGTGCAATTTTCCTCTTTGTCAGACCTTTTTAGGTCATATATGGATCTACGTCAGAATCACTGAACACATTTTAAGCACCCAGGCATAAATAGAAAGCCTGGGGCTTCTGACGCTTGTCTTCACCTCACTCTTGGGAGACACTCAGAACTGGGCTCCTTTCCTAAGGATGGCAGGTGACACAAGTGAGCAGTGGCCACTGAGTGGATCTAAGTGGTCACAATTTTTTAAAAAAGCAGGAAGCAACTTTCATAGTTTACACCAGCATGTCCAAAAACACCACCATTTCAATGATCTTTAAAAAAAATTTTAGGCTGCTTCAGTTTTTACATTAAAATTAACTAAAGTTAAAATAAAAATTAAGTTTAATTCCTCAGTCACTTTGGCCATACCTGGCTCTAGCCACAGCTTACACAATAAACCTACACCTTCACTACATTGTAGTTCATTAATTAATTACACTTATTGACAGCTGCTTTCTTTTTTATCTGTAAACATTAACACCATGTATGTATAATGTTACAACATATACACAGTGTGTGTGTGTGTGTGTGTGTGTGTGTGTGTGTGTGTGTGTGTGTGATATTTGTTGGTTGGTTGGAGGGATTGTTTTATAGACTAAGCTAGCCTAGAACTCACAACATAGTGCAGCCTAGCCTTGATCTTTTGATCCTCCTGGATTAGCCTCCCAAGTATTGTGACTACAGACACGTGCCAGCAAGCCTGGGTCTATCCCTTCCTTTTAATGGCTTAATATATAATACTCCAATATATTGCAGCTGTTCAGGGGAAAAACTATTATATTGTGTGTTTTCTTATATCCCTCTGTTTTCTTACCTCTCATTAGCTGCAAACACCCTTTTATACTTCAACTGTGTCTCCTATAAGTTAGGCAAGTTTGCTCACTCCATATATCTGAATTAGAGACCAGCTTGAGCTACAGAGTAAGACTGTGTTACAAAGCAAAACAAAATAAACAAGGGGCAAATGCTCAGTTTTATTTATTCTACAAAGACAGGCAGGAAGCAAAGGATAGACATGGACCACTCACTGTACAGGTCTTCAGACAGCACCAGGGAGGTCTTTAAGTTCATTTCTTATAGAAGGTAGCTGTTGCCCAATGTCATTCACTACGATGCATTTCAACAAGCTTGACTGGCTGAACTCACTTCATCATGAGAGCAGCTGGTGCCAGAGAGGAGGTCTACAGCTGCTGGCTCAGCCACACAGGCCTCACTTCATGTTTTCTTTTCCATAAAAATCAGCAAGTCTATGCAAGTCTGCCCATGGTGCCGGCAGTGATGTACCAACAATGTGCTGCTCCAGCTTGACACACACCTGAGTCAGGAAGCATCTACTGCACCCTCACAGCAACAAACGAACACACCAAACACGCTGAGTGGGTGGCTACTTCCCTCAACGCTGGAGATGACTGCACAGCTGCAGCACTGTGAGCAAGGGCTGGCTGCATGCACACAACACACTGCAATCTGAGAAACCCCATCTCTCCCCAGGTGTATCTCCCCAAAGTATCTCTTCCTCCAGCCCACTAAAGCCAAGTCCTCCCTTCTCATTGGTCTGAAATTCCATACAATAGATTCATTGCCTTTGCCATAAGGCTAGCAAGTCATTTTGATGATGGTACAAGTTTAGGAAGAAAACTGTAACAGGAAGCTCTTCCATGACATGGTGTTTACCTACAGATTATCAAAAACAAGACTGGCTAGGAGAGCTAAGCCCAAGATTTTCTAGAGAACAGAAGTGGGGGAGTTTTAAGACAAGCCAACATTTTTGAGATATCCTTCACCACAATTCATAATTTTAAACTACCATTTAAATAATCACATGCGGAAATAACATGTTCTCTGTTCCTTTTGAGTTTCCATGCTACTGAAGAACCCTGATCCAAGTAAGAAAAATTTTCAGCCTTAGACTCATTCTGTGTGATGCTTGGGAAGAATCAAAGGATCTGAAAGGGGTCAGGAAGAGCTCCCCAGGAAACAATAGGGGAACGGCACCCACATTTTCGCGACAGCAGCCTTGCAGCAATAGGACACTCTGGGACTGTGGTCCTCTTACCTGGTAAAGCCTGATGATATGTGGGTGACAAAGCATCTTCATTATCTGAACTTCCCGGAAAATCTTCTTCAAGTTTTCTTCATCCAGCTGGGTCTTATCTATGATTTTAATAGCAACCTGGCAACAGAGGAAGAAAATGATGGCTACGTTATTAAAAGAAGTTTACTCAGGAAAATTAAATCCACTTTAACCCATTATATTCTATAAAACACTGCTAGCATTGTGTTTTCAGGACGTCAAGGAAGAAAATGGTCTAACTCTTTTTAAAAGACAGGATATGGACTCCAAGCAAGTTGGTCTCAGAGGATGGGCCTTCTGCAACTCTTACGCTGCCTACACAATAAAAGCCAGGACAACACTTCATTACTGCAGAGATGTGACCATGGCTGGCTCAAATCACGCTTCCATGAGTGGAGGGTAGGACTTCTTCTGAAGACAAAGTATGTGTGACAGGTCTGAGATGTCAACAGGTGCCACCAGGAGAAGGCCAAGCAGAGTGGCAGGGGTGGTGGCAGCAGCTGTGTGCCAGTCACAGACAAGTCTTACTGCCATGTATGTACAACTCCCTTAAACCTCATAACACCCATGATTGTGAACCTTCTTTCATTAATATGGAAACTAAGGCACAGACAGTAAGGAGTAAGCAGCAAATCCAGCATTTAGTCATTAACAACAAGTATGTGGCAGATACATGTGGTCTGTCTTGGGAAAGAAATCCTTAACATTAATACCATACCAGTCTGAAAATCTTTCTATGCCCCCAATACACTGCCCCAGTATAACCCATTATTCTCAATACACCCGGAAGCATATAGTTTCTTGAGATTGATTAGCAATGCAGACCAGGCTACCCTAGAATTCACTATGTAGCCAAGACTGGTATCAAATTCAATCTTTTTATAACAGCCCCTTGGGTAGTGAGATTACATGAGTGACTCACCATGTGACATAGCAGAGACATTTTAAGGTGGAATGAAAGATGACATTATTTCAATCTACTCATTTTTTTAATGTTTTGAGGGGTCTCTATATAGCACTCTACATAACTCTCTACATAAATATAACTCATTGTGTAGACCAGGCTAGCCTTTAACTCACAGAGATCTGACTGCCTTTGTCTCCCCAGTGCTGGGATTAAAGGCCTGTGCCACCACCACCCAGCAGTTTCAATTACTTAATCAATACATCAATCAATACTAGTAAAATGTTTAGATGGGGCAATGAAGACATGATCAGTTAGCTGTGTGCATGGATGCCTGGCAGAAAGGTGACTTTGTTTGCAGTTTTTCATATTATCAGACTGAAGGCTATGGAGGAAAGGTACCAGGTGGAGGACTTGAGCACACTCATGGCCAGCTGGTGGAATGTGAGGAATGACCTGGGTACCCAGAAAGTTCCCAGGACTCACAGCTGTGACTTCCCCAGGACTTGGAATCTACTATGGGAACAAAAGATGTTCGGCAGAAAAGATACAGCGGCTAAGCAGAGGACAACAGCTTCCACCCAGGAGAGAAAAACGGGACATGGGAGGATTCACTCAGAAGATAGGCTGACCAAGGAAGGAACTGGGACAGGTGTCGGTCTTTAACATGAAGGAAGGGAATCACCCACACATCCTGGCAGCTCTTTGATCTGTAAGTCTGAGATGCATGACTTTTGACCACCGGCATGTATACTGGTTACTGTGCCAAATCACAGGCACAACTCTACCAGCTGGCCTGGGGCTTTCACCTGCTTCTCTTGGGACAGCTCCCCAAACAGTATCATAACAAACGATACCTCTTCAGATAATTTCTACGCAGCATCAAATTCTGCCCTGCTCCTCCGTGAAATGAGACAAAGACTCCACAAAACACCGCAAGGTGAAGCTTTGCCCAACACTGGATATAGGATTATAAGCAAGAACGAAAAGAGGCCAAGTTATTGAATTAAAAAGTTTAGAACATCGAGTAAGTTATTTTGATTTTTGTAACTCCTTGTCTGTAAAATGTGGGCACAGGGACAGGAACTTCCCTGAAAGGTTTCTGGGAATCAGCTAAGGTCATGAACACAACCTGCTTAAGAGTGCCTGACCCATGACAGACATATATGAGACTGGCACTCCCAGTTTCATGAACTCTAGCTTCAACTAACTATAGTCTCAAAACCGTAAATGGAAAAGAGCACAAATAAACAATGCCTAGGCCTTAAACCACACGGCACTGTACCAAGCTTGAGGGTTTTGCTTAATCAGCTCTGTCCTGCCTGAGGGCATAAATTATCTCTCCATGAAGCACATCAATGTTGAACATGCTATCCTCCTATTGCTCAGTCACCCTTTCTGTTATCAGATCTGCTGGGGAAGCATCACTCTGCTTATGCTCGGGCAGCCCTTGTTTTATTGATCCAAGCAACTCAAAACACAAGAGCAGCAATGCTGGCAAGTCAGCAGTTCTAATGTACCAAAAGGAAGTTGGAAGGTACTTCCTTTACCTTCTCGGAAATAATTAGAAAGAACCTGGTGCATGCCTATAATCCTGTAAACTATGGAGGTTCAGACAAGAGAATCCCAAGTGTGAGGCCAGCCTGGGCCACATAGCAAGACTCTGTCTGAAGAAAGAACAAGTGGTGCGGTGTGCACGCCTTTTGTTCCAGCCGTCAGAGGCAGAGGCAGAGGTAGGCAGGCAGGTCTCTGTGAGTTCAAGGTCTACAGAGCAAGTTCCAGGACAGCTAGGGCTATACAGAGAAGCCCTGTCTGGAAAAATAAAACAAAACAAGAAAGGAAGAAGCAAACAAAAATGGAAAAGAGATCATGTACAATCAGACTTCAAGATATATTTACATAATGTTTATTACAGTGTACTTTTACAGTTACTCTATTTTATTAGTGAGAAAGAAGCGGGCTAGCACTATCTATGGCTCCAGGCACCCCCTTGGGCTCTTGAAACCTATCACCTACAGGTAAGTTGGGGGGGAGTACCTACTCTATATAGGTACTGATGTTATTTCAAAATTTCTGGAATCTAGCCTTAAGCTTTGAGCATTCTGAGTCATGGATTAGACTGGCTTCACCAAGCAACGTAATTCTGAATCTAAAACATCAATTCCTTCATCAGAGGACAAGCCAGGTGCCAAAAAGTAAACTAGCTAACAATCTGTGGGCAATATTCAGAGCCACCTGATGGGCTGCCAGCTGCTGTGGAAAGAATATGGAAGGAGCAGGGTGGGGGGGGAATGTGGGGGGTGAATTCCATTCAGGAAAGTCACCCTGAACCACAGGATGGAAGACAAGCAAGGCCTAACCTGAGAGCTGTGCCCAAGAGAGCACTGTGTAGTTCACAGCAGGCCTGGCTCCCTGGTCCCCCTTACTAAGAAGCTCCAGCCCCTATGGCACTCAAGATTGCTGGGCAATGACAAACCTGCTTGGCCCAACAAGTTCCTGAGACACAAAAACAACCCTAGCTACAAGCTGGAAAAGGAAGGGTTCTAAACAGCACGATGAGGAACAACAGAAAAGCACCAAGTCAGAGAGCAGGGCGGGCACGAAGGCAGGGTTATTTCGAGAACACCAAACAGCATAATGAACATGGATTTCTGACAGCTACAGACTTGTTGGGGGCTTAAAGTACACATAGTCTGCTTAAAAAATGAATTGTATCTGTAACAAAAGTAAATCTGCAGGTTAACAAACAAGCTTCCAAAGAGTATATTGTATGTATGTGTGCATGCATGTACACGGGTGTTTGGTCCTGATGTATGGCAGTGTACCATGTGTGTGCCTGATGCCACTGCATAGCAGAAGAGGGAGTTGGATGACAGTTACAGATTACTGAGAGCTGCCCTATGGGTGCTGGGAATTGAACCTGGGTCTTCAGAAAGTGCAACAAGTGCTCTTAACCGCTGATTCATCTCTCCAGGCCCCAGAGTACTTTTTTAGAGACTGAAGCTGGATGTCTGTAGCTGGTCATACATTCACATGTGCACATGAAAACTATTAACCAGAAGGAAAGCTAACTCAGTGCACAGGGCTATTCCCTAGGTTGGCCTGTTCTACACAGACTCCTCTTCTCTTGCAAAGAATATGACTTTGTGAATTGACACTGTAATATTAATTAAACATGGCATTGCATCAAATATGTTGCTAAATAGATACAGATTGTGAAAGTCCTGAAAAATTTCCCTCTGCAACATACTTCCCTTCAACGAATTCTTTTTAAATTGGCATCCAGTAACAAATAATAATAATAATAATAATAATAAATTCAGCTCATGCCAAAGTCAGAGCTTTTGTACTCACTCTAGAGGAGGAGAGCCATTACAGCCTTGTTCTCACTTCTGAAAACCACAGCCGCCTTGCCTTAACTCTTACCTCAGTTTTGCAACATAGTAATGTGCATACAGAATGAAGGAAAAAAAAAAAAGTAGTGGTTTCTGCTCCCAAAGCCAATTCATTCTCTAGCATTTTCTGAGGGAAGATATGGTGGCAGAATGCTAACCAATAAGCCAGGAAAAAATTCAGTGCTAAGATCAAAACCCTATCACCATTCCCCAGCAAAAAAAAACCCCTGCTGGGGGCTTCAGTGAAATGCTATGACAAATGCACAGCTTTAAAAGGAAAAAAACAACATGTAGGAGGAAAACTCAAAAATTCCTCCAAAAAGAGAAGGTGTGGCCCCTTAGACTAACAGAGATGCTGGCACAACCACTATTGTGGTTTCACATCATTTGAATGTGGCCAACGTATACAATGGAGATACAAAATATATACTATTTATCACATTTAGTATTACCAAAGGACTGTAAATGCACCGATAAATTTTTCTAATGATTACATGTAGAAATAAGATTTTAGATATTAAGTTAAATAGAATATACTATTCAAATTAACTTTACTTGTTTCTTTTAACATTTTTGTTCTGTTTTTCAAGACAGGGTTTCTCTATGTAGCTTTGTAGACCAGGCTGGCCTGGAACTCACAGAGATCTGCCTGCCTCTGCCTCCCAAGTGCTGGGACTAAAGGTGTGTGCCACCACTGCCCGACTTCTTTTAACTTCTAAAAAATGTGACTACTAAATTATATGACAGACTTTGAAGATCCCTTCCTGGAAAGCCTCACCCTCCCTGGGGAGCAGAAAGAG